TGCTAGCACGAGGCCGCTAACAACAGCAGTAATAATAACACCGTCACCGCCAGCCTTTCAGCGAAAGCCGAGAGCTCGGGCGCACCACGCTTGATTAAATAACATAATTAGGAGCCGCTTTAATGAATATTATTACATTTCAGGCGATTTCAAGAATGGCCTTTTATTTTCCCTGGGCAGACAGCATAAATATAATGAAGTGTTTGAGATTATTAATAAAAACATGAATGGTCTACTTGGGGTTCGCGCCTCGCAGCAGCGAGGCCACCAGCATCGCTCGGAAACCTGCGCAACAGAGCTGCTAGCTAGCCGGGCTTGCGGTCCCCAGGGTCCCGGGGAACCCGCTCTCCTCGAGACCCTAGAGAGAGTCCCGCCGGCTGCTTCCTTCCCCGCCACCCGCGTCCGCTCCCTACTTGGAGGCCTGGAGAGGGCCTAGCTCTCTGCCGAATAGGACCACGAGGCATGGAAGAGGGGTCCCCGGCCGGAGACCCGGCGCCGGGGCTGCAGTTGTGCTGGGGCGTGTCGGGAAGCGGGTACCCGTCTCCCCGAGGCTGGTTTCTGCCTCGCCCGGCGAATCCGAGCTTTCGGAATTGCGCCTCAGCCCTTTGTCATCAGTCTCTATTAACCTCCCAGCGCGCGGCTGCTCCGCCTGGCAGGCTGCAGTTTTCGGCGGAGCCGGGACCCTCCCGGGGGCGCTTGGGGAGCCGCGGAGGCGAGCAGAGACCGCGGAGGGCGGATATTAAACCAGCGGGAGACAGAATGACTTCTAGCAGAGCCCCAGCCAACAAACGCGGCCTCCCGGCCGGCTCCGCGGCGGCGCGCGAATTTACATATAGAGTGTCTGGGCGTGTGTTGCGCGCAGCGGAAACCCGGGCGCACCTGTGCCCAGCCGTGGAGGAGCCCCCATCGATTTGACCTTCTCACTCAAGGAAAAAACAGAACCGCTGGCGCCCTCTCGGTAATCAGGCTGGGGTCACCCGCATGGCTCCTTCCAGAAAGACAGGGCGGGTCCGCGTTGCGGCCGTCGGCGGGTGTGGACCCTGAGATTCTGACTCCAGCCTGGGGACAGGCCCCACTCTTCCAGCCCCGTTGGCAGAGCTGGGTGCAGCGGAGAAGGATGGCTCTGAACGCCAAGGAGCCCCGGCGGGCCCTCCCCGTCCGCACTCTCGCGGGGGCGCCTGCTGGGACAGGCCTGGGGGGCGGCGGGTCCTCCGGGGCCCAGACTCCCAGGCCCTCTCGGAGTCTCTGCCCAGCGATGGAGCCGTGTGGAGTGAGCTCCGCCTGGGCCTGGAGGGGACACAGCTAGGCCTGGGGCAAGGGGGTCGTTCAGCTCGAAGGAGCAAGGACTTTCTTTATAAATGGGTGTTCCTCTTTTGCACACTTAGGAAACCCGCCTCCTGTGGGGCAACACTCAGTCCAGGGTTCCAGTCGTGGGGCGGGTTCTGCAGTCCGGGTCCAGAGCTGCGACACGCAGAGTCCGGGAGGCTCGGGAGCAACCAGGGGGCAGAGGACTTGGGAAAGGCGCACGGTCTTCCCGGCAGGCCTGACTCGGGACTCCATGGCGAAAGCAAGCAGGTGGCCAGCGGGGGCTCACCATGAGGGAGCAGCTTAGATTATATGCTGTTGGATTAAAGTATAATAAACATAGGAGTAAAAAAAATCTCAGCATTTCAAGGGTCTGAGGGTTCATCCAGTTCAAAAAAGAAAGAACACTCTCCGTGCCACTGTAAGCCTAGTGTCTGCTTGGACACCTCCGAGGACAGGGAACTTATTACCCTACAAAGCTGTACTTTGGCCCTTTTCAGTGTTATAATTTGAAAACAGTCTTTTTTAAAAAAAATGATCGCTTCATGTAAAATAAGAGAGAGGCCAATATGACAATAGAAGTTGTGCCAATATTTTTTTTGTTTGGTTTTTAATCTATGAACTCTCTGAACTGTTCAGAAGTTGGGGGTTGCGGGGAGTGCGTGATCTCACCCCATCTGCAATGACCCTGGGGCGCACCTTGGACCCGGGCAGCGAGAACTCGGAAGGAGTAGGAAGAGGGGGTCTCACCTCTGCGGTGAGACCCCAGCTGTCTGAAAATCCCGGGGGCTCCCAGAACGCTTCCTGGCAAGGCGAAGGCCCAGCCCAGAGGCCCCGCTTCCGCCTGGGAACACCAACTGCCCGGCTGCAGGCGAAAACAGAAAACGCCTAAAAAGTCGCCTTCGGCAACAGATCCTCACTAGTCTGAGTTTCTTTTACAGGGAGAAGAAAAAAGGTTTGGAAATACCGCAACTGAACGCGTAAATCACTCGTTCAAAGACCCCCAAACACTTCCTGGCTGAGGGGCCTCCAGAGGGAAGGTCAGCACTGGCGAAGCAGGTCCCTCCCCCAGTCCTGCTGAGGAAGTCATACCCTGTCTTTTGCTTTGGGGAGGGGGGGAGACAACAAAAGGTAAACAAAAATGACACTTTAAAAAGGAGAGTCACTTTGTCTCACGTGGAGTAAAAAGTTTCTGTCCTGAGAGGGAAGCGCCCGGTCCAGCGCGGGTGGGCAAGGCCAGTGAGCCCCCAGCCGGAGGGAGACCCGTTGAACTTGGCAAAATTTTAAAAATTTAGTCACTGGAATAGCACCGTATTTTTGAACACTTCCTCCTAGAAACGAAATGTGTAAATTATTTTGGTTATTCTGTGTTACATAAATAAGACACAACCAAACTTATTGTTAAAAAATAATAATCACCTCTGGCTACAAACGTAGGCACCTGGCACCTGCTCTGAGGTGCGGCAAAGGTCGTGAGCACCGGGGCGCTGCGAGGATGCAGGACCGACACAAGGTTAGAAAACTCACTATTCCACCTGGGACCTTCAGTATTTTATAATAAAGAGGTTTTGTTTTATTTAATGTAACCTTCAAGAATTTAAACACACAAAAATGTGGGGAGGGGGTTTCACAATTTTGATAACCACAGTTGTAAATAGAAACATTCATTCATTTCTCATAAGATTATAAATATTTGATACTGGAACTGTAAAATGCACATGTTTTATAAACTAAAACAACAAAAGAAAACAAAAAACAGAAACCAACTTTGCTTCCTGCTAAAAGGCATGTCATTTCATTGAGTTTCCTAAGCAGCAGATGGTTATTCACAGACTTTTAAATTACAACTTTTGTTTTTATAGTTTCCTTTTTAAAAAGGTTTACATTATTATGTACAAAGTAAAACTGTTACTGCAGTGAAATAAAGAGGTTTAAGGCAAAGAGAGAAGCTCACCCTCAGTCCTCAGGGAGACCACCGGGGCTCCCAGCTCAGCCATGGGCACACCCCCCGGGCTGTCCCAGCCACAGATGGACATGTGGACTGGTCTTTCCCCAGACACTAAACAGAAGACAGTGTGGAGTTATATATAGATAATGTGTTTGTTTATATATATATGTACTTGGTGGGAAATATATTGAATATATTTAATTTACACTGTACCACACCTTCAAAAATAAAATGTATATTTTAAAAAACAAGAAAAGACAAAAAGTGATAAGAAATGATTATTTACACATTTTCTTCCTTCCTCTAGATCCTGGAGGATTCTGAGTTCTTTTGAAAGACAAGATAGCCACATGTTCCAGAACTGTGGACTCATACAAGCCTGGTGTGTGTGCTTACATGCATGCAGACATGTGTAAACACACATATTTATCTTGAAAGAATGTTCTCTATAGCAGAAGCAGCCACTCCAAGAAAAAAAAAAGTAAAAAAAGAAAAAATAGGGAAGAAAAGAAAAAGGAAAGGAAGATGATGCCATCTCCCTCTACAGAGCCTTCTGCCTGCCCAGAAGCAGTGAGCCATGAAGAAACGGTCTCATTTCTTAGACCCTGGCTGGCACCCAGGGTGGCTGATAGAGCCTCAGAAATTCCTGGGACCAAGCCAGGAGGGTCGCCCCACTGCTCTTAGGCTTTGGGCCACAAACCCCAGACCTTTAGCCCCAGAACCTTGAAGCACTTCTGCATGGAGGCCGTGCCCAGGGCAGGAGGGTTAGGCCTGCGGCAGGGCTGCGGCAGGACTGGGGACAGTGACACAGACCACGGATGCAGACGCTGTATGCACAGGGTTGGGCCTTGGTGAAGAGGAGGAGGAGAAAAGAGGAGGGGGAGGGAAGAGGAGGGGGAGGGAAGAGGAGGGGGAGG